CATGTCATGCTCCAGTTCAAGTCCGAAGTTGATAGAACCGTTTCTGCTTTGTTTTCGAAAGGCTTAAACCAAATGTCTCGCCAACGGACTTGTGTGGCGATGGTTTGTGCAGGAAGAAACTGCAGATGAGCATAGACCGTGGATTTTTCTATGTCTGGGCAAACAAAATTGGCACGGCTCGCCTGTCTTGTGGCGGACTCTGTGTGGCCGGAAACTATGCCCCTGTCTGGACAGACGAGCTGTTTCGTTACCAGGTCTTGGGCGCATGGCCTGAGAAGCTTTGGAAGCAACGGAAAGTCACAACGGAGGTGTACAAGGAGTACTTGTACTTGACTAGGGATGGCGTACCAGCCCGAAAACGCAACTTAGACGCTGTCGTGCAAGAAGAAGAAAAGCAAGAGCTTCAGGCCCTCATTGCCAGCAACACGAAGAGAATCAGATCCAATCCTGAACTCTACAAAACGTTTCCGGAAATTGCAGAGGTGACCGCTTGGCTGAAGCTTTTCGAGATGGATGCCTTGCGGTATCCTGTTTTGTTGCTCCTGGGTGCCTCTATGTCTGGCAAGACCGAATGTGCCAACTCCTTGTTTCGAAGCCCGTTGGAACTCAAGGTTGGTCCTCTCCTGCATTTCCCTGACGGTTTGCGTGAATTCAATCGGAAGATCCACGATGGCATCATTTTAGACGATGTCCGAGATTTGAGCTTTTTGACGGAGAACCAGGACAAGATTCAAGGCAAATACAATGTACAGCTGGAGTTTGGTGTCACGCCTGGTGGCCAATGTAAATATGAGAAATATCTGTTCCGAATTCCAATTGTAGCGACATTGAATTACTCCACGCAAAATTTGTCATTGCTGGCACGCATGATTGGCTTTCCAAGGCTGGCAATCGTGTTGTGGTGCATTTCCGTGGTTTTGTTGCTTAATTAGGAACAGGTTGTTTGTCCTCCGAGCGAAAACGTTTGGATTGCTAATGTGTCTCTCTGAAATTCGCTTGCAAGCTGCATGTTAAGATTACCCAGTCCAGCGTGGTTGAGAAAACAGCAGCCTGAAGCCACTGCTCAGGGAACCGCGGAAAGTGTTTTTGCTGCAGGCGTTTGCACGGGCGGGTGCCATTGGGTTTGTTGGTTCAGGGCCAAACATGTTATCAGCGATTCTGTTCGCATGGAAGAAGTCTGGGGTTTGTGATACGCTGCTTTGTTGTGGCGTGCTTGCAGGTGATGCCGCCCAAAGCAAAGGCAAAGGCAGCTGGCAAGCAGAATGCGGTGCAGGCTGAGGGCTGGTGTTGCTCTGGTGGTTCTGGGTCTAATGTGGGGGGTCCTGTTTTTGGTACCGTTTGCTGCTCCTTGGATTGGCTTCGGAGTTTTGGGCCTCCCCTGTATTTTTGAGATGTGTCGGGATCATATTCCCTCATGAAAACCTTCATGAATTTTGGAGATCCTTGGCTGGGTGTGAATTTTCGGCCGCTTTGGAACTGGAAACCAATGGCTGGTCCTGGTGCAGGCTGTGCAACAGATCTTTGCCCGATTCTTTCACGGCTTTTTCCCACAAGTCTGGTAGTCGCATGCCAGGAGTGGTGCGAAGGTCTGAGCGTTAGTCCCGACCACAGCGGAACCATGCCCAACCCCGGGGATCTCATCAAAGCCCGGCTAGTGGGCTCTGAGGGACTGAAATAGGGTTGAGGGGTTTTTGGTGATGGTGATTTGAGGATACAAGTATCAGGGTGGCGAATATGCAGAAATATGATATGGATGTAGCCTTCAAGACATGGGGACGTTGGGCTGCAAATGAGATTTTACTTTTGACCACTAAAAACTTGGGTTTGACTTGGTTGATGATAGAGATGTGCAAAAAAAAAATAATATATATATATACACACATACACACGTACATGTATTTATGCAAATATGAATTTATGCGTATTCATGTTTGCAAGTGTACATATGTAAACACACAAGACATACGCAGTATAAATTTGAAACTTTTGTACGCATCAAATTCCAACCTGATACTTGCTTTCTGCTTTATCGTGGAGTTTCGTTGGCTGGCTGCATGGTGACAATTTGAACTGGGAAATCCAAGCGACCAAGCAATGTATTGGCATGGCACCTGTGCTTTTTTCACCAATGCTCACGCGCAATTTGATCGGGGAAATTTAATTGGGGCAACACTGTGCCGGACCAGGGTTTTTTGTGTTGCCGAACACTTTGAACATTCAATTCCCACATGGACATGTCATAGCAGGTTTCTCACCGACACGCATCAGGCAATTCCAGGGCTTGATACGACATGTACGGAGAACGCACTCCAAACCACGGAAAGGGGACAGGTATTATGCACAAAAAAAACAAGTCTTATGCCACTGAAGTAATCGGACCAGTCCCGGTCGGAAAGCTCCACCGCCCCAGAACGTGATCTCGGGCAAGTGCATCAATCAATTTACACTGCCTCTCGTGGAGACCAGCTCAAGAACTATCGTGGGGTACGTACACGCCACTTGGACCGGCCCTTGCTGCCTCATGCTTTTATTGTTTTTTGTCTGAATGTTATAGATGTGACTTGACATTCTTTTTGTTCAAGGCTGCGGTGCCGACAAAATTCAAGGGTCGTGATCGGTGTCCACGGCCATCTCCGGTACGTATAGTCAGGGTGATGGGGGGTGATATTGCAAGATCCTCCAAATATCCAACCCCTGAAATTTGAATTGCATTTAGTCACTTGGTTCTTACAATTTGCGAGTGCTGGACTCTAAGGCGCGCCGTGGAGGTGCAAAAACACGCATGACTATAGCGCAATTGAAGGTTGCTTGGCATTTTCAACTCGACCGTTTGCTGGTTTCAGACATTCATTGCGCTTTTGATGCAACGGACCCAAAGTAACTCACCTGTGCTTAGCATCGGGCTTCCATGTTTGCCCACCAACCAGTCCTTCCCAAGGTTGAGGAAACCCACACAAGACAAGGCCTGGGAGGTCTTCTGATTCGTGCTGCCGAAGACCACTCCAAAGGATGCTTGCCTGCGGTTGGCTGGGGCTGGCAGGGCCTAAGTCAAGGAAAACAGAAAAACTATGGCATTCAAACTTGGCATTTCAATGACCTTTACTCGTACTGGTAGACCATCCCGGTTTTGTGCCATTGTGTGCGTTGTCAATTGAAGTGATGGTTTGTTTTTTTTCGTTTTTCGTTTGCTGCGAGGCAGTGAGTGGAGACCCGCAAATTCTTTGGGGTACAATCCCATCCAACAATGTCCAGAGGTATTGTTAACAAAGGAACCCAACTTTTGCAATCCAAAAACATATTTACAGATTGGGATCACGTTGTAGTCTAAGGCCAGAATCAATCAAAACCCTGCAGCTTGTTGAAGGGGATAATCCCTACCAGTCATACTTCTTCTTTCAAATGGAATCCGCAGGTCAATGCGGAGTTAAAATTACCTTTCACGTTCGCATGTCACTGCGCTGTCACTGCATTTTCCTGAAGATTATTCATTCTCGTGCGGGTGCATCAGCCGCCAAACCGTTCGAGATCTTAGAGACGTACATAAGATCTTGGGAAGATCACTGAAGTTTGCACATGGCAAAACGCTGGCTGCAGCCAGATATGTCATAAGGTGACATAACTTGACCCATGTTACCAGCGGTTGCAACCGAATTCGAAGCAATGCGCCCTAATGGTCCTAATGTTGGTTTAACAGTTGGTTTTGTCATGTTTTGCGCAGGTGCCGCCATGCTGTTGTCCCAAGGAATGGGGTGGGAATGCCGGACCACTTCCATCACAGTATTGAAAGAGAACATGACTCGACTTTAAGGGACGAGAGGACTTGAAGTTTTCCCTGTGTTTTGCCAGCTTGTCCAGATTCGCTTTTGATCCAATATCTAGCAACTATTTTTGTGTTACCTTTCCGTAGTATTTGTATATCCTTTGAGAGCTTCAAGGGTGGAGTGGTTCAATCACCAGGCTTTCAGCGAATGATTGTTGATAATTTTCACAGCAGATTCAATTTTGTGAGACTATTTCCCCACTTGGAGATTCGGGATGAGGATGGTTCACTCAAATTCTATTTGCTCTAGGACGGGACATGCACATCTCTTTTCAAGACTCTCGATTTGGGCTTGGGATTGAACCTGCCTATCGCGATCAACATGTCGGTGATAGAAAACCTAGGACCGCGCACGCAGCTGCTATCTAAAAGCCGGCTTTCGGCACAAATCCAGCAGGAATGCGGGCTGGGGAGCAAAGAATCATGTGTTTTCCCAGTGGCAGACAATGCACAAGGTGCCAGGCTCGGTCAATTGGGTCTTGAGAAGCTTGATAAGTAAACTACGATGTTTTTTTACGGGGTAGATGGAACGGTTAATGGGTGAAAATTGTAATGAAATGTCATGTGAGGCCACCCACTATTTGTCAAGTTTCGTTGATATTTTTCACCTGTCATGTGAAGTCTCCAGATTTTTTGCCAGTGTTTTCTCTCCTTTCTTGCCCAATATTGCCCAATCAATATGCCAGCATATATATGTTTGTATATACATATATTATATATATATGTATCTATATATATATATAGGTATGTATATATATATATACACATGTATGTATGTATATATATATATGTAATGTATGTATGTATGTAATGTAATGTAATGTTATGTTATGTTATGTTATGTTATGTTATGTATGTATGTATGTATGTTATGTAGTTCACATATCATCGGCTAGGTAGGTCTGGGATAGGTGTAGGACTCTTACGTTGCATGTTCACACTTTGATTTCCTTATTTATTTTTATTTATTGGATCTGACAGATTCACACCTGGAGTGATCACCAAGGATGCCAGTCCGATCGTTGGCCATTTTGGCGCGAAGTACGTGATCAGCTCCAGGCATCATCTCTCGAAAAGGAGATCAACTGAGGGCCTGGGAGCTCGTTCACTGTAATTGCTCTAGATCATGAGTTTTCCCCCTGCTTACCCTGCTCCTTCATCGTTGCGGCGCCAGCAAGCCATGGCAGCAGCTCGTTCAGCTGAAGGAGTGCGCCCAGAAGACAGCGCATCGATGGTAGGCTCTATGGTGGGATCTCAGGGGTCTTGGAGTGTTTTGGTCAACGAACAGGCCAATGTGGCTCCACCAGCCAGTCAGGGGGTGCCCATGCAGTGCCCAACACCAAAGGCTCCTCCTCCTGGCTTTAGACCTGAGGACAAGCAAGCGGCTCCGGCGACTGAGACTGACCCTGATCTGACCCAGAATGTGCCGCCACAGGATCCCCAGTTCTGGGCCGGGGTGTTTGATCCACCCCCAACAGTGCCTGCAGCTCCGGCTACGCAAGCAGCCAAAGCTCTTTGGGACAATGCTCAGCAACAGGCTCAACGGTTGGCCAAGCAGAAATCGCAGGCCAAACGCCGTGGACAGAGAGGGATCCGCTGGGGGCAGATGCCAGGGCTGAATGCTCAGAACTTTCAGCTCCCGAATTTCATTCAGCAGCTCGGTGCTCGTGAGAATGAGCGGTCAGTTCTGGTGATTGACAGCCGCGACAAAAGGATCCAATCCCCATTTCAGGGGTGGCTTCTTGACGAGATCCTCCTCAACGCTCAGTCTGGGGTGAATGTCTTGTCAGATAGTCAGTTGGTTCGATCGCCGAGCACGGGCTATCACATGAACCTCTTCTACGTGAGGATCCTCGACGGCTTCAAGTTCATTTTGGTGGGAACCATGACGTCCTATGGCACGGTTCCTGCTGCCAGATGGGACGAAGCCACCAGCACGGTGCTCAACCACAAGGCCTTTCAACCGTTCAGATGGCCCATGATGTCAAATGAGTCATCCACGTGGGTAGATGTGAAGGTCAAAGTGGAAGGAGATTTGCTCTTGCACCTTGAGCTCCGTGGATACCGCTCGGACCAAGACATGACGGTCCAGCTCAACTACATCAACGACGTGATGGTCGCAAACTTCAGGGACACGCTCTTTGTGCCGTCCTGTGTGGTCACGATCTTTCAAGGATGGCGAGTTGTGGCTACTTCATTCGAAGTGGGCGGCCGCTTGTATGCGTGCTCAGAAGGTGGCATGGTGGCAGCCCTCGATTTTCCACTATGTCACTTTGAGGTGCGCATGACAGCTCTATCCTCTGCAGATTCGATCGGAATGGATGCCGACAGGCTTGAGTTCAGATTTCGATCGTCTGGGGACAAGCTGGATGTAGCTTGTTCACAGGCTGTGGTCCCGTCCACGTGGCTCGTCGTGTCACGGGTATCAGGACCTACGCTCATCAAGAATGCTCATTGGTGCCGTGATCATCATGCACGCATCGAGGGCCCAGACCAGACTCTTCAGCTCTCGCAACTGGCAGGTGTTCACGCCCACTGGACTGCAACGATCGAGGCAGGAGCTCTGGAAGAAACTGGCCCGAGGATCAGTGCAGTGGCGGTGGAATCGCATCCAGCCAATGTTCATTTGACGTGTGAGGCGCCGCTCTTCAGGGCTCCCAAAGCGATTGTGCCGGTGGAGGCTTTGGCTCTGCAATGTCATGATCAACAGCTGGAGCAAGACATGCTGGTGCTCCCTCCTGTGCATGGTGGTCCATCAGTGGTGCCTGCAGCTCAGGCGACTTGCGGCCAGCGTGCTCTCGCTGGACCTTCAAATCCAGCGTTGGTTGTGGCTCCACGTGGGACAGCTGCGTGTCTGTCACAGAGCCCGGCCAGGCTCCTGGGGCGCAAGAAGTGGCTGGTGGCTCGATCTCGGTTCAAAGGCGCTCTTTGGAGGCTCGTGCAGCTGAGAACCTTTCTGAGGCTGCTGTGACCCCTCAGACCTTTCTTGATCGAGTTCAAGGCGCTCGTGACAGCCAAGATCCTCACTATGTTCCAAGCCATCCTGTCAGCTATGGTCCTGCTCCGGTGATCGAAGAAGTCACGGACTGCTGATTTTTAGGATGGTTTTCTCATTTTGTTCAATCGAAATTCACCGGGAAGGTGCTGGAATGTTCCAGGTGGATGTTAAGCAAGACTGCTTTCCGATCGGCAGGAAAACCAGTGCTCATGTCAGCCGCTTGAAGTGGCACGGGAAGTGCAACTGAAAAGAGGGTTGCGCATGAGAGGGTTTCCTTTTTATTTTTGGTTTGTTCAACTTGTTTGCATTTCGGCAGGTGATGTTCTTTTATTTGCCATGTTCAATGTCAGCAAGTTGAGCGATCGTTTACTTGCGAGGGGTCCCATAATCCACATGTTCATGTGCTCATTCCGACCCGGCTCAGGCGATCACCTCAGCGGGAGGGGTGTTGTGGGATCCCAGATCGGACTTGACGTAGGATTGTGCTGACCGGCATAGGGCGATCGCCCACAAAGTTAGCCTTCCTTCTCTGTCTGATCTGTTGGAATAGTAATTTAGTGCTCACCGTGTTAATTACTTTAGCTTCAATTAATTGGCATGTTCATGTCTTGCATGTGCTCGTAGGACCTTTCATTGCGGCATGATCAGGTACGTTTTTGCTGGGCTTTCTCTTGGGTTTTGTTAGGCTTCTTAGGTGCCCCACCCATTCCATGTTTTGTTTGATCTAAGCCATCACGTCGCTCGGACAGTGTGACCATGGCTCAGTCTCAGGATAGGTGGGCGTCTAAGATCCTAGCTCTCCCCATTTTCTCAGATGAGTTTGCCCAGGCGATTCTGCGCTCGCCATACTCGAACCTGGCGCTGATCTCTGCAATGGAGGTGCACTCCGCTGGTGAGTTCGTGGTGAGAGTTCATGAGTGGTCTTCGTCGGTTCCTGAAGACTCGAGGGATGCACTGCTCACGAATGGGTTCATGCTGGAGCAATACTGGAGTTTGGCTAGTTCTATTGAGAAAGCTTTCTTTGAATCTACAGCCAACCAGCTCGGCTTTGGCATGTGTGATCCTGTTACAACAGCTCTGAGTGCAGAAACTGCCAGTGCTAGACAAGCTCGGGCGGTTAGAGCTCTGCTCGAGCGGCCTGCCCAACAGCCTAGGAAGATCCTCAAGAAGACGGAGTCGGATCCCTCAGTCACGCCGTTGCTCAACCAGGAGACAGCTGCTCGCTGGAAGTGGGCGGCAAAGCTGGAAGAGATAGGCAGGAGGGCCGGCTCGTGCTCCAAGCTTTTGGTGGACACCGCCAACAGTGAGGGTCTTTCGACGGCTGAAACGGCTCGTCTTAGGCAGTTAGTTCTTTCATCAGGGGCACCTAGAACCATGGCAGCTCACATTTCAACCTGGGAAAGGTTCGAAGAGTGGTTGCTAGGTGAGGGTATCCCTGTTTTCCCCCTTAGTTCTGATAAGATTTTGAAATATGCTCTGTTTTTGGACCAGCGCGAATGTGGTCCGACAGTAGTTCCATCGCTCAGAACAGCCATTAGATGGGTCACCTCCAAACTAGCAATTGATTGCCCCGATTTGGCCCACGCGGCATTGCTCGCCGTCCAGGCAGAGATCGTCCAGAAACGGGCGACCACCCTGAAAGAGGCCAACCCGATCCCGATCGAGGTGATAGGGTGCATGGAGCAGTTCGTGGTCGATGATGAAGAGGCCGATGCGGCTCGTCTTTTTGTCTGGTGGTGGCTCTGCATGGTCTTTGCCTCTTTGCGTTTTGACGACGCTGTTCATGTGAAGCCGCACGAGCTTATCCTCACGGATGAAGGCCTGTTCGGCGTGGCATGGCAGACAAAGGTCGAGAGGAAGAGGAGGGGAACTAAGTTCGTTGTTCCCCACGTCGGCTTCGCGGATTCTGGATGGCTGCTCGCCGGTTGGAGCATTTCCAGTTGGAGTCTTTCGACAGAGACTACTGGATGCGGGATTTGAATACCCGCGACGCATTCAGAGATGCTCCGGCGGCCTATCAGCGTTCAGTTCAATGGCTCCGCCATCTCGCCAAGTTCGCCTTGAAGAAGTACTTCCAGGGTGAGGAGCAGGCGATCAAGCTGGCAGAATCCAAGCTCCACGGGATTACGGCGCACTCTGCTCGTGTGACGCTTCTCGACGCAGCGGTGCATGCTGGTCGCTCGACAGAAGAGATCGGCCTGCAGGCAAACTGGAAGAATCCGGGCCCGCTCGTTTTGAAGTACACGCGGAATCGCACGAGTGTGCCAGCTCAGATGGTTCAGCAGCTCGTGAAGGACATGGTCGACCACTCCCACCCGTTCGAGGTGCCAGCTGATGCGGTGCTCGATGATGGCGCCGAGACCGCTCTTGATGAAGTCCAGTTCTTCGTCAAGACCCATGGCTCCAGGGCAAATCAAGATTTTCGTTTTCATTGCTCGCAGGTGGGCGATACCTCAGTGGTGGCCTGTGGACGCCTTACGATCGAGGAGTGCACGGAGACGGGCTCAGTCTTGCCGGATCCTTCACTGCTTTGCAAGCGCTGCGCCCAAGCTCGCCCTGATGTGGTGTCGAGGTGCTTCACTGCAGTGCGCACTCCAAGATCGTTCTGCGCCTTAGCTGAATTTTGTTCTGCAAGCCATGGCTTTCATTTCTGTCTTGTTTTTATTTTGCGTGTTCTGCAAGTTTTTCTTTTCAAGAAGCAATTTCATTGATCATTTGAAAGATGGTCGATCGCATGGTCTATGCGGCTGATGCCGTGCCTGAGCTCCCGCTGCGGCAAATCTTGGGGCGTCAGAAGATCCCCGAAGACCTGTGCAAGCTCGTGGCCGATTCAGGCCTCAGGAGCGTCGAAACGTTCGCGATGCTGGGGGATACCATAGCTATGGTCAAGCAGACGATCAAGACTCTGATACCGGATCACACCCAGCTCGGAGCCGATCAACCTGCTCAAGAACTGGCTCTGATCTCACTGGCAGCGGTTTGGAAGACATGCTCTACTATGCAGGACCATTTTGCTGCTCGCAGAGCAAAGATGGAAGAAGATCCATCCAAGGTGCCGGAGATCCCTGGTGAAGACCATGCCGAGTTCAGGGAGACCTTCGTCTCCAGGCACCCTGACGTTGTTCTTCCAATCCATCGTGAGCCTCACCGCAAGTTCGTTGAGAGAGTCCAAAGAGATCATCTTGTCCATGGTTTTGTTCACTTCTACGAGGTGGGTGAGATCAGGACACGCAACGAGCAGATCGCTCAGAAGTCCGGGCTCTCCAAGAATGCGGAAGATCTGCTGCGCGTGGTGACGATCGACCAGCCCGTGACCGCCAGCTCCGAGAGCCAAGTCATGGATAAGCTTCACGCTTTCTTTATCACCTTGGAGTACCTCAACATTTGTGAGTTCTCCTTCAAGGCCGGCCCTCTCAAATACCTGGCCGAGCTGGAAGAGTGGCGGCATGAGAACCGCGGCCTTGCTCTACTCCTGGCAGCGGACTCGCTGATCAGGAAGAAAGTCCATCGGGTGAGCTCGGATCAGCGGAAGAAGTTCGGCACCTTCTCGGCCGCCCTCTTGGATTTGCTCACCAACCACAAACAGTTGTGGAATGATGCTCGCTCGAGTGCGGAACTGGACAAGTTCAAGCAGGCGGCGACGAGCGCCCCTACGACACCGCCCAAGAAGCGAGCTCGTTCGACCTCACCGCCTTCTCCACCAAGCACAGCCAAGGCCAAGAAGAATCGCAATCGGCGTGCTCGACAAAAAGTTCAACTTCAGCAGGCCAAAGCAGTTCTTGCAAAGCATTCCGATCGCGACAAGTCAGACAACAAGAAGCCGTCTCGCGATGCTCGCGTGCCCCCAGCAGAGTGGCAGAAAATCACCTCGTTCCAATACGGTGGCCCCAAACGCTGCCCTTTCTTTAACTGCTCGCTGGGGTGCCGCTTTGGAGATCAGTGCAAACAGAAACACAGCTGCGTCGAGTGTGGGAACGACCACCCTTGGCACGGCAACCATTGAACAACCCCCCCGGTGGGGGCTGCGGCTCCTTGCCCAGGTCTGGGCCCATCGCAAGGCAGCAATGACGGCTCTCTCAGCTCTGCTGAGCGCAGCCCGAGCCCTTCGTCAGTCGAAGGTTCCTTTGCTGGGTCTTGGGCCACAATTTTGTCACATCTGCCCTCCTTGCGGAAACAAGGGCGTTTCTTTTTGGAGCTCTTTTCTGGCACTGCAGGGATCACGGAAGCTGTTCAGCTCACTGGAGTCCCCGTGCTGCCGCCCATTGACATTGTGCTCTCCGACATGGTCAAAGAAGTCTCAGATGTGGTCGATGCTCAGGTGTGGCAGCGTGTGTTGCGGGTTCTGCGCGAAGGGGTGGTGTTCTATTTGCACTGCGGCACACCTTGCAACACTTTTTCTTCTGCTCGCAAAGATGATGGAGGCCCACCACCTCTGCGCTCACTGGAGTATCCAATGGGATTGCCGGATCTGAGTCCTGACAATTGGTGCTTGGTTCAGCTTGGCAATTTGTTTCTAGGTCATACTTGTGAGGCTTGTGTCATTGTTTTTGATCATGGTGGGGATTTTCCATCGAAAATCCTCTGTTGAGCCTGATGTGGGTCACTTATTTGATGGATGATTTGACTTTCCACGCTCGGGCTCTGGCCATTGACCTCGAACAATGCGCTTTTGGGGCTCCCTCTCGCAAGCCTACGCGATTGGAGTGCTCCAATGAACTTTTTGATCCCTTGGCTATCACTTGCCCTGGCGGTCATGCCCACATCAAGCTCAAAGGCAAGGTCACCGACCCAGCAACGGGCAAGCGCGTGTTCAAGACCAAGGCAGCGCAGGTCTACCCTTGGGCTTTGTGTGTGGCGTTCGCCTCGGTGGTGCATGCTCTCTGGCAGGATCCTTTTCAACATCTTCAGACTTCTTTTCAGTTGGTTACGCCGGCATCCGATCGGAAGCGGCAACTGGGCTCCTGCAAACCGTGGCTTGGCCATCGACAAATGAGCTCCGCCCAACGCGCGCATTGGGCAGGGTATCAGCTCAAGCGTGGTGCAGCAAAGCCGCTCTTGCACATCGAAATGGAACCTGGCCAGGCCATCGAGGCTGCGCTCCATGTGATCCATCCTTTCAGTTTGGCGGCTCCTTTGTCACCCCCTGAAGAGAAAGCCCTATGTGAGCTCCGGCGACCGGCGCATGAAGTTGTTCAACATCGAGGGCATTTGCTCCGTTGTTGGTCACAGATCGCAGTCGACTTACTGCCACAATCTGTACGCGCCATTCGCCAGTTACCGGATGCTCCCTTGAGGCGGCTCCTTCTGGGTGGGGCGGATCACGAACCACCAGCTCTTGGCCAGGTTTGCCATGTCGCCTTGTACGCAGCTATGCTCGATGCGTGCCAATCAGTTGACCGTGCTTTGCCTCAGCTGCTCTTGGATGGCTTTCCCATTGTGGGCGAGATTGCTCGCACAGGCCGTTCGCCAGCCTATGACAAGCCTCAGAATGATATCCCCGTTCGGGAAGCTCTTGGTCGGGCCTGGGCAATCAGACGGAAGATCATCCAGCGAGTTGCTCATGTCCCTGTCACAGAGAGCCTTCGAAAAATTTGGGAGGCCTCCATCGAGGATGTGCATGAGTGCTCGTGCTTAGGTCCTTTTTCACATGAAGCTCAAGTTTCTGACATCCTGGGATGCGAAGATTGGATCCCAACCCAGAGATTTGAAGTCGTTCAAAAGAACAAGGTCAGGGGCTGCGATAGTGCCACTACAAACATGATCAACCAGGTCACGAAGATCACTGAGAAGCTTCAGCTCCCCTCGACGGACACCAATGTGGCGGCCCTGAGGATGTTGAAGTTGATCAAGCCGGATGAAGAGTTGGCAGGCTGGGTGCTCGATGAGCGGAAGGCATACCGACAAGTGGCTATTCGTCCTGATCACCGCAAGTTCTCGGTTATTTGCCTCAAGAACCCCATGTCTGGTGCTCCAAACTTCTTCATCATGGTCGGTCACTCCTTTGGGCTCGTTTCTGCTGTCTATAACTACAATCGCCGTTCGGCTGCTATCAACGAGTTCCTGGTGTCGTTGTTTGGATTGGTTGCTTTTAGCTTCTATGACGACAAGTACGGGTTCGAGCCAAAGTCCACGGTGGAGAGCGCTCGCCTCGTGGCCGAGAGCGTCCATTTTTGGCTTGGTGCTCGTTTTGATCAGAAGAAGCTGCAACTGTCCGAGGCACCTACGATCTTAGGAGTCACCTATAATCTATCGGCCATGCAGCTGGAGATCAAAGCCGATCGCAAAGAGGAGATCGCCAATGAAATTGATGCCATCCTCGCTTCAGGTCTTTTGGATCCAGGCTCTGCTGGCAAGCTCAAAGGGAAGTTGATGTTTGGATCTTCTCAACTTTGGGGAAAAGTCGGTCGCGCTTTCCTGAGAGTTATTTCTGAGAGGCAGTACCTGCGTTTTGCTGTAGGTCACGAGTTTAAACTTGACCCTGCTCTGAAGAAAGCTCTGAATCATTGGCGTAGGCTCGTTTTGCATGGCCCACCTAGGCCGATCGAAAATGTTTCGGAAAAGCTCGTGGATGCCGTTGTTTTTACTGACGGTTTCACACCAGATCCGAGATCGAATCAGCGCGAGCCTGATCGTGTTGGCGCTGTTCTCTTTGATCGTAGGATAGGTAGGCCTAGACAGTTCACAGCAGTCATTCCTGAACGAGTTAAGAAACGCTGGCTCCAGCGTGCGACTCAGATTGTTCCAGTTGAAATGATTGCTGCAGTCCTGGCTTTAGAGACTTTTGCCGATCGACTGCGAGGAGCTGACATTTTGTTGCTCATTGACTCTGAAGCAGTTGAAGGCTCCCTTATCAAGGGATACTCTAGTCGCGAAGATCTTTGTGAGCTTATTTCGGTCTTTTGGGACCTTGCTTTTCAGTTGAGAGTTCGAGTGTTTATCGATCGAATTTCAACTGATGCCAACCCCGCTGATTGGCCGTCGAGAGACAAGATGTTCATCGGCGAAAGCATTGGATGGGAGACGGTTAATGTCTTGTGGCCGCCGTCGCTCTCTCGGTGTGGTGAGGGCCTGGGTCTGTGACTGAGCTCTATTCTGTGGTTCATTAGCTTTCTTGCTTTAACCTGGTCTGTGAAAGACTCTGCGTATAAGCTGTGAAGTTCGATGAATTGCTGAGCTCTATCCGCCCATGATCTCTCAGTTTTTGCTTTTCAGCATTCAATAGATCCAGACTTAACTGCTCTCCCCATGCCCTGAGCAGTGATCAAAAAGGAAGCAGGCGCGTCCGTCAGTGCTCGGGGTTTTTCAATTTGATTCTGTGTTTATTGATCTTTGAAATTCGAATGTGTGAAAGTGATGTTCATCACGTCATTGCGCGATTGAGTCGTTCACATATCATCGGCTAGGTAGGTCTGGGATAGGTGTAGGACTCTTACGTTGCATGTTCACACTTTGATTTCCTTATTTATTTTTATTTATTGGATCTGACAGATTCACACCTGGAGTGATCACCAAGGATGCCAGTCCGATCGTTGGCCATTTTGGCGCGAAGTACGTGATCAGCTCCAGGCATCATCTCTCGAAAAGCCCATCCCGCCCACCCTGGGTTACTTCGCGTGGCTCAGGGTGTGGTTTGGCCTCCTCGGCTTTTTGATTAGCTTGTTTTGGTCAGCAATCAGATGCATTTCCTGACCTCTATTGCCTGTGTGTGAGTCTGATGGGGTCTGTGACTGAGCTCTATTCTGTGGTTCATTAGCTTTCTTGCTTTAACCTGGTCTGTGAAAGAGACTGCGTATAAGCTGTGAAGTTCGATGAACTGCTGAGCTCTATCCGCCCATGATCTCTCAGTTTTTGCTTTTCAGCACTCAATAGATCCAGACTTAACTGCTCTCCCCATGCCCTGAGCAGTGATCAAAAAGGAAGCAGGCGCGTCCGTCAGTGCTCGGGGTTTTTCAATTTGATTCTGTGTTTATTGATCTTGGAAATTCGAATGTGTGAAAGTGATGTTCATCACGTCATTGCGCGATTGAGTCTGTATGTTATGTATGTATGTTATGTATGTATGTAATGTAATAATGTAATGTAATGTAACGTAATGTAATGTATGTATGTATGTATGTATGTATATAATATACATATGACCCTTGTTTCAAGTATATACTTGAATTTTCCCGTCTCATTTTTTTGATACTTTTTTGGCAGTGGTCAGTAAATTCCAAAATTGAGCAAGCAATTGGAATTTGAACCGTTCTTGAGAATTTTGTGATTGAGCAACTTAAGTCCGAACATTCGATGATCTCTTTTTGAAACAAATTTTGGGCTCGAAAAACATCACCAAAGGCACGCAAAAACCTGCAAACGAGCATGAATAAAGGTTGGGTTGAAATTTGTTGAGGATTTAAGGAGCGCCAAATGGGAGATGGACATGGGTGGACCGTTTTCGGAGAGTCTCAACTGCAAAATAATGCACCCTAAATTGATAAAAATTATCTCAATCAATCTGTCAGCCACTTGGCAGTTAGAAAGAAAAGGCAGTACATATTCCAAGCTAAGCAAATGTTGGCCCAAATGTCAGTGCATACGTCAGTATTGCTGTAATGTCATTACATACTTGGCAAACACAAGCGACAGTCAACAGTCAACATGTCAGTGAAGGGAGTACAGTCGAGTCTAGATACCAGATACCAGTGAGTAAGGAAACACCAGTACATATGCTAGTGCATATGTCAAGCAATTCATTGTGCACCTCAGTACACATGTCAGTCCGTTTGTCAGACATATGTCAGTAGATACGCCAGTACAGGGGCTAAGTTCAGTGTAAATGTCGGCTATCTCACGGTATATGTGAGATGGCAGAAACATCTCAAAGTATTTAGTAGGTGACGTGCTTTGCAATTTTCACCTTGAAATGGTGTGATCGGCTCGCGTGGATTTGACGCATTTTAGCGCTGTCTTTTTGGCCTTGCCAAGGTGCACGCCCACAGCTGTGCCAAGAAGTGCATCAAGAAAAAAAAACCGCAAAACCGTCGAAACTGTAGCCAAAGATGCTACCAGTGTTTTATATCTGCTCATCCTTGAGTGGAGTGAATAGTCTGAGATCATCTACCCGAAGAGTCCGTGACAAGGACCCAGCAATTGAACTTGGTGTCATTCGTATAGTTGGAGATTTCCTCTGAAACATGATTTTGAGCAACATGTGGACTTGAGAAGATTCTGCGTAGATGCGCACAGCGCATTTCAATATATTTGTTTTGGGTAAATTGTATTGACAGCGGGTCTTTGCTGGCAATTTGATTATGGCCCTGGAAACACTGGAAAACTCCCAACAACAGACCAGCTTCAAAGAAAGTCTGGAAAGGTACGGCACCTAGACCCTGGCCGTGCCTCGTGATCCTCCAGATAATGATATGTTTTGCGCAAAATGGGTACCAAATCTTCTTGGAGTTTATAAGGATCCATGATATACAGGTGAGTTATAGATAGGTTATCCGTCGTCTTGCCAATATCTACTAGGCAAAAGTATGATTTTGTACGATTGGTCACGATATGCCATCGCCATGATGGCAGAAAAGCTGGCGAATGTTTGCGGCAGGCTACCTGCGAGGGCAAAAGCCTGGAACCATGATGTGTGCAGTGTGCCAAAGTGCCATTGTCCTGCTCATGCGCCACTGAAAAAGGGCACACGTCTGAAGCTAGCTCTGCACAGTGTCCTTGTAGGTAGCTTCAGAAATTTGAAGGACCTTTTGTTTGGTGGATGTTGCTGTCCCATCACATCACAAGACATGATAGTGCAGTGCGTGATACGACGCATTGCGTGTTTTTTGTTGTTGCCTTTGGTTCAAGTACCCAAGCCTTCTGACGTTGACAAAGGAATCAGTCAGGGCCCTCAGCAGTCCTGTCCTGCCGACTCATGGACCAATAGGTTTTCTTGAATGGGTTTTCTTGTGACCCACCCAGTATGTGATCTGATGCTCTGCTTAAGGATCTTGCTTCGCAATGCCGCCAGCACATGCCTCAGCAGTTGCGCGAAATTTTTCACAGATGTGGCACGCGGCAGTGTGAAGTTTGAAGCTGACGTGCCAAGGGGAAGGCGGGAACACTGGTAGTGTCTGGTGGCAGCCACGTTGTTGGTGGTCCTGGTGGTGTTATTGTCACCGGTGGTGGCACTGCCGCGGCTGCTGGTGGTGCTGCGGCTGATGGCGGAGGCGGGTCACAGCCCAGAGTTCATGATCATCAACTTGGGGAAAATTTATGAGTGTCTCAAAATGGATGGAGGATATATGATATATGTATATGTATATTTATATCTACGTAAATATACACACACACATGGTTTTGACAAAGTCATGAAAATCCCACCCCATTATGAAACAAATTTGTTGCTGTTCTACCAAGCACCTTTGCTGTCATTGTCATGAGCTGTTGTCTCCTAGACAAAATGCCTCAAATTCCATCAAAGTCAAACGTCCTGAGCCTCCTTTTATGCAGGCGGCGGGTTGATGGGTCCCTTGGCACGAACAAAAGTACGAAGGGAGACCGCGTATGATGGGTGACAGGAGAAATCGTCATCATGCAAAATTCATCCGATAACATTTCTCAAGATCTACAGTGTATGATAATGCACTACACATACAGTAGTTGGTTTTGAATTTGAATAGCAAATCAAAACATCATTGAATTATAGAAAACGGTGATGAACTGGCCGTGGTGTGCCCTGATCCACGGCGGCTTGTTTTAAGCCTTTTAAGCACTTCGCACGCTCCGGTTCTGCCGAGGATGTTTCTACGAGAGGTATCAGGAGTCCAGCAGTGAGGCGATCACCTATACTGGTCCTGGTGCAGAGCTCAGCGATGGAAGACCGATTGGATAACTATCGGCGATTTGGAAACTATGATTCCGAAACTACAAATCCCCGATTTGGAAACCAAATCTCCGCGATTTGACAACTAAGAATCTCCGATTTGGTAACTATGTTTTGGGAACTGAGATTCCCCGACTTGGTAACTCCGATTTGGTAACTACAATTCTCAGATGCTTGGTAACTAAAACTCTCCGACTTGGTGACTAATTGAGGAAACCAGACCTGACAGATTCGGCAAGCATGGTTTACACCTTGGCAAATTCGATTTAAGAATTAGGAATCGCCTCGAGCAACTATCCTTATTTGAATATCACGACTTCTTGAGCAAGAGTATGCCTCAACCTCACAGCTTCACCTCTCCAAGACTTCTTGTCATGATTCCAAGTCATTTTCTAAACCTCCCCCCCAAAACCCTACATGCAAGAGTATTCCTCAACTTCACAGCCTCCCCTCTCCAAGACTTCTTGTTAGATTCTAAGTCATTTTCTAAACCTCCCCCCCAAAACCATACACGCAAGAGTGTGCCTCAACTTCACAGCTTCACCTCTCCAAGCCTTCTTGTCACGATTCCAAGTCATTTTTTTACCTTCCCCCCCAAAACCCTACACGCAAGAGTATGCCTCAACTTCACAGCCTCCCCTATCCAAGACTTCTTGTTAGAGTCTAAGTCATTTTTTAACCCCCCCCCCCAAAACCCTACATGCAAGAGTATTCCTCAACTTCACAGCCTCCCCTCTTCACAGCCTCCCCTCTCCAAGCCTTCTTGTCACGATTCTAAGTCATGTTCTAAACCTCCCCCGCAAAACCATACATGCAAGAGTATGCCGCCTCAACTTCACAGACTCCCCCCTTCAAGAGTTCTTGTCACGATTCCAAGTCATTTTTTTAACTTCCCCCCCCAAAACTTTAGATGCAAGAGTATGCCTCAACTTCACAGACTCCCCCCTCCAAGAGTTCTTGTCACAATTCCAAGTCATTTATTAAACCTCCCCCCGCAAAACCCTACATGCAAGAGTATGCCTCAACTTCACAGCTTCACCTCTCCAAGACTTCTTGTCACCATTCCAAGGCATGTTTTAAACCTCCCCCTTCCAAAACCCTACATGCAACAGTGTTCCTCAACTTCACAGCCTCCCCTCTCCAAGACTTCTGGGCACGATTCCAAGTCATTTTTTTAACCTCGCCCCCCCAAAACCTTGCATGCAAGAATATTTTCTGTTTCTCTAAAACTTCACTGGGGTGGGGGCAGTCGCCCCACACTGTGGCTTTCCTTGTTTACATTCAGCACCAGTCCAAAGAAAAAAAAACACGCGGATAGCTGTGGATTCATTCGTGACTATCGTTTCCATCGAACACGTTCGATTTGGTTGCCCACAGAGACATGTCATTTTGCAGATAACATGGTTACCGAATAACTGTTTTTGGTTACTGAATCAATGTTTCATAGTTTCTAAATAACACGTTATAGTTACCAAAAAATATGGTTTCCAAATAAGATGTCTTAGTTACCAAATCAGAGTTCGTAGTTATCAAATCACATGGTTAGTAAATAATACCTTTTAGTTACCGAATCTGCGTTTCATTGTTTCCAAATAACACGTTTTAGTTACCAAATAACATGGTTACCCAATAATCCGTCTTGGTTACCGAATCAAATGGTTTAGTTACTCAATAAAACGTTTTGGTTACCCAATAAACCGTTTTAGTTACCCAATAAATCCGTGACCTGAGCTCAGCAATGACGCAATGACTTCACAAGATGTGTGGCACACACACATACAGCATACATAATTCATACATTCATATATAACATAAATGTAATATGCACAACCACGTGTGTGTGTGTATGGATATGTGATATATATATATATAGATGCACATGTTTTTGTGCATATAATATATACATACATATACATGTAGAGGAATCGCACATATAGATAGACACATATAGACTATATGCATCTACAGTATTCTACCGTCATTTTAGATCCGTTGACATGAATCTGCATACATGTACATTTATCGACATAACCTGACCCAACCGGCAAGGGCCTATGAAACTGATCTTTCAGGGAAGCGGTTTCTTGAGATGAGAGCATTTTATGAAAAAGGTCAGTACGTACATGCGAAAAATGTATAATTACACAGACATATACACGCTAAGGCTAACCTTTTGGCATAAAAACTATTACTGTAGTCATGTTGAAACAATATGCTACGCTTGGTTTCGCATACTCCAAACGTTGATGTTGAACATCTCTTGCCCTGCTTCTTGCAAGTTCCTTCTGCAAGTGAATGTGCGAATATCCAGCTCAAGCCTTGTCAAGTACATCAGTACATCACAACTTGTGAACCCTTTTCTATCCATTTCTGTCATTTTGAGGATTGATGCATGTATTGATGGACGCATGGATTTCCTTGGTTCTTCTTTGCTTTCCAGTATGCGCAAATCGTTTTTTGTGGATACAGTGACATTGCCTGTAGTCGTGAACACTGCTTTTGAGGCCAGGGAAACCTCGAAAGCCGCCTGGTCGACGTTGGTGCAGGGCAGGGAAGCTACACCAAGATGAAGACACCGACATATGCCTGGAGGCGGGAGAGAAGTTTTGGGGATAGCTTGCATGGCTTTTAACAGCTGGGTTTTGAGTTGCACATGCTCTGGAATCCAGCTTGCTGTTCAACAGACCTGCGTTCTTTGGGGATTCTTTGTGCCATAATGTTCGACAGGCCGCGCATTTCCGTGATTGCTTGCTCAGGCTGTTTCTGCATCTTGGCACCAGCATAAACTTAATTTCTGCTGGCGAAGATGCTTGTAGATTGGAACGCATTGGAACTTGATCCCAGCCCTAAGGTTGCTGTTTCCTCATCTTGCCCTTCCTGTGGATTTGTGAGGCAGACACTGAACCACATTTTCAATTTGCATAGAAGAAGATGGGAAAAGTCAAGTTGTCAGGTTTCATTCCAGAATTCATGTTGGTAGAGCTGCTTTCAACCACATTGTGGGGAAGGCACATTGAGAATTCTTGCAGTTTTCAGATCAGATCAGGTACGTTCGTTTTTCACAAACGAGTCGTGCTATGTGTGTGGGAGCCAAGGCAGCAAAAATTGTGTAGCAAGGCAAGAGCAGGCAGTTGCACCATTGCACTGCTGAACTAAATATCTCATTGAAACAACTGAAGTACAAAGGTTATCCAGCCATGTTTTGAAGATCAACCCTGACGTTTCAAAACACTCTGGCCCTCCGAAAGCACCACCAGAAGCTAAGAAATTGGCAGCAAGCACCATTTTCCTGCAGGACCAAAAACGTACATTAGTTTTGGTCGTAGCAGAAACATGGGTAATTTCCCGGAATTTCTGGATAATTTACGGTGAAATCATGAGCTAAGGATTGGAGACCAGTTCTTGGAAGAAGAACAGTGAAGAACAACATATTTGAATACTCTATCTTCTAAAACCAGTTTTTTTCCTGATCTTAGCCCCAAAATAGAAAGCGTAAACGCTTTCTTTTTCACTGATACTGGTGCAAGGCATCACCGTTCCCCAATGACAGAGGTGTGGGTTTGACCAGAAATGGTGGATACCGTGGATACATGCGGATACCGTGTGGGCAAGTCTGGGGAAAACATGGGGAAGTGATATGAAATGATGGTAAACTGCTGGATTGTGAGACCTTTTTTTGACCCACATTGGTCATTTGCGGGAAACTGCAAGCTGTGCACCCAGGGGTCAAGACTACATCCCTCCCGCGCAGGGATGCCCCAGATGGGAATTTGAGACGATTTTGAGACGATCCATCATGGGAAGTCATGGGATATATACTTCAAATTTGTCGATTTCATCTGATTTCATGGTGAAAATGATTGTGAAACTGATGGTCTGGTAAAGTTAGCAATGTCATCGCTGATGGGATCGCTCCATTGCTGAGGCCACTTCCAGAGCCGGGGAGCCGAATGGGGAAATCAGGGATGCCAAAGTGATGGGAATGTGAGATGATCAATTGTGGGATACCTCGAATTTTGCACATTTCATGGTGAAAATGAATGAACATTTCATGGTACACCATAGATCACCATGGTAAATCAGCGGATTTTGGGCTAGTGGATTGTTGACCCAAACAATTTGTCCGCACAACTTGCAAATGGCAGGCCGACAGAGCCGAAGTACCACGATGTGGTTCGCCGCCACTACAACACAGTCTACAGGAAGGTCCCTGTGAACCACTACGTGGCTCGGCCATAACCTGGATGACTCCTACGTGGCTTGGCCATAACCTGGATGACTCCAGCGAGAAAGGGTAAGGGCCTCGCTTCGGAACGCGTCTTCAGGCATCGCTTCGGAACGCGCTCTCATGCATCGCTTTCGAACGCGCCTCCTCACCATCATCATCATCATCATCATCGTCATCATCATCATCATCATCATCTTCTTCTTCATTCCTCACCATCATCATCAGCATTTGCATCATGCTTCTTCTTCCGTTTATTCCTCTTCTTCTTCTTCTTTTTGGCCATCCTCTTCCTCATCAGCCTCATCCTCCTCATTATCCTCATCGTCAACAGCACGATCATCATCAGCAGCATCATCAAGTTTCTTCTTTTTTTCTTCAGCATATTTATTCTTCTTCTTCGCCGCCAACACCATCATCATCATCGTCATCGTCATCATCATCATCATCATCACCATCGTCATCCTCCTCATCATCATCATCAGCAAGATATAAACCCTAAAGGTGTCGTGGCTCTTCTTACATGAAGTGCAACAAGATATAGACCCTAAAGGTGTCGTGGCTCTCCTTACATCAAGTGCAACAAGGTATAAACCCTAAAGGTGTCGTGACTCTTCTTACATGAAGTGCAACAAGATACAAACCCTAAAGGTGTCGTGGCTCTTCTTACATCAAGTGCAACAAGATATAAACCCTAAAGGTGTCGTGGCTCTTCTTACATCAAGTGCAACAAGATATAAACCCTAAAGGTGTCGTGGCTCTTCTTACATCAAGTGCAATGTGCAACAAGATATAAACCCTAAAGGTGTCGTGGCTCTTCTTACATCAAGTGCAACAAGGTATAAACCCTAAAGGTGTCGTGGCTCTTCTTACATCAAGTGCAACAAGATACAAACCCTAAAGGTGTCATGGCTGTCCTTTCATTAAGTGCAACAAGATATAAACCCGAAAGGTGTCGTGGCTCTTCTTACATCAAGCTCAACAACAAATAAACCCTAAAGGTGTCGTGGCTCTTCTTACATCAAGTGCAACAAGGTATAAACCCTAAAGGTGTCGTGGCTCTTCTTACATCAAGTGAGACAAGATATAATCCCTAAAGGTGTCGTGGCTCTTCTTACATCAAGTGCAACAAGATATAAACCCTAAAGGTGTCGTGGCTCTCCTTACATTAAGTGCAACAACAAATAAACCCTAAAGGTGTCGTGGCAGTCCTTAGATCAAGTGCAACAACATACAAACCCTAAAGGTGTCGTGGCAGTCCTTACATCAAGTGAGACAAGATATAAACCCTAAAGGTGCCGTGCCGTGGCTCTTCTTACATCAAGGGCAACAAGATATAAATCCTAAAGGTGTCGTGGCACTCCTTACATCAAGTACAACGAGATATAAAGCCTAAAGGTGTCGTGGCTCTTCTTACATTAAGTGCAACAAGATTTAAACCCTAAAGGTGTCGTGGCTCTTCTTACATCAAGTGTAACAAGATATAAACCCTAAAGGTGTCGTGGCACTCCTTACATCAAGTAGAACAAGATATAAACCCTAAAGGTGTGGTGGCTCTTCTTAGATTAAATGCAACCAGATATAAGCCCTAAAGGTGTCGTGGCTCTTCTAACATCAAGTGCAACAAGATATAAGGTGTCGTGGCACTCCTTACATCAAGTACAACCAGATATAAACCCTAAAGGTGTCGTGGCTCTCCTTACATCAAGTGCCATAACATGTAAACCCTAAAGGTGTCGTGGCTCTTCTTACATGAAGTGCAACAACATGTAAACCCTAAAGGTGTCGTGGCTCTTCTTACATCAAGTGCAACAAGATATAAACCCTAAAGGTGTCGTGGCTCTCCTTACATTAAGTGCAACAAGATATAAGCCCTAAAGGTGCCGTTGCTCTTCTTACATCAAGTGCAACAAGATATAAACCCTAAAGGTGTCGTGGCTCTTCTTACAAGATAAGAACCTCAAAGGTGTCCTGGCTCTTGTTACATGAATTGCAACAACATGTAAACCCTAAAGGTGTCGTGGCACTCCTTACATGAAGTGCAACAAGATGTAAACCCTAGAAGTGTCGTTGCTCTTCTTACATCTAGTGCAACAAGATATAAGCCCTAAAGGTGCCGTGGCTCTTCTTACATCAAGTGTAACAAGATATAAACCCTAAAGGTGTCGTGGCACTCCTTACATCAAGTAGAACAAGATATAAACCCTAAAGGTGTGGTGGCTCTTCTTAGATTAAATGCAACCAGATATAAACCCTAAAGGTGTCGTGGCTCTTCTTACATGAAGTGCAACAACATGTAAACCCTCAACGACATGTAAACCCTAAAGGTGTCGTGGAAGTCCTTACATCAAGTGCAACAACATATAAACCCTCAAGGTCTCGTGGCAGTCCTTACATCAAGTGCAACAAGATGTAAACCCTAAAGGTGTCGTGGCTCTTATTACATGAAGTGCAACAACGTGTAAACCCTAAAGGTGTCGTGGAAGTCCTTACATCAAGTGCAACAACATATAAACCCTAAAGGTGTCGTGGAAGTCCTTACATCAAGTGCAACAACATATAAACCCTAAACGTGTCGTGGCAGTCCTTACATCAAGTGCAACAACATGTAAACCCTAAAGGTGTCGTGGCAGTCCTTACATCAAGTGCAACAACATATAAACCTAAAGGTCTCGTTGCTCTTCTTACATCAAGTACAACAAGGCTTTTGTTTCATATATTCACCTTCATTTTCTGCGGCAGGCGTGGGACCTTTTGACATCGACCTTCATTTTGCGTGGCAGGTGTGGCACTTTTGTACATCGACTGTCCTTTTACCTGGCAGGCGTGGGACTTTATGACATGGTTGAAACGAGTCAAATTCTCATACGAGGAGGTTTTCCGCGTTGGTCTCGCTTTGGAACGCGTTTTTCTTCCAAAGTCTCGCGCCTGTCAGTAAATCTGATGTGTGTGTGTGTATGGCGGGGTTTCCATGAGATGTTTTATTTTGTGTTCTAAAGTGATGCAAAATGGCTGTGTTCTAAAGTGATGCCTGAGAGTGTGTTCCAAAGTGATCCTTTTACCGCGAGAAAGGGGCGTATTCCTGAATGTTTGCAATTGTTTGCATAGGTGATGGAAGAACACGGGTGGAATCTCAGAGTTTCTGAGGACAAAGCTAAGTTTTGTTCTAGTTCAATCGAGAAGTTGTAGGAGAATCATGGTCATGGGGCTTGATATGAAATGATGACTCTGGAGTTGTGGATTGAGGTGAAAGTGCAGATGCCACAACAACCTCCTCTAGTCCACACCGTGAAAGTTGTGGCCCAGCCAGACACGCTTGCAGATTCTTTTCACAGCAAGTAGGGCCACCTGGCCTTCCATTGAGACGGCAAGCTCCTATGCACGTGCGCCATCGTGCGCCTTACATCTCGTGACATCGCATGACATCGCGTTCCATCGGGACTTCATAGGGTTCCATCGCGTTCCATCGTGTTACCTGGTACCTCCGTTGTGCTGTGTGAACGGTGCTGTGCTTCGGGAGAGGGTGGATAAGTGACACCATGTGACACCAGCAACACGTTCCTTGTAAACCTGTTAGATTCTGGTGGCCGCTGTACTCAGAGTCCTAAAAAGTTCTGTGTCAGGTCCAATGTTTTGGGGTATGGAAAGCACAGGCTGTTTCTGGAACTTCGGGTGCGATCACAATGGAAGGATAATACTGGACTTTGGACCCGTTTGACACGTGATGGGACTTGCATGGACTTGCTATGTGGCCAGGCTCCACCGACGCAGTTTGAATGTGATTCCTACACCATGCATGCAGATCCAACTTGGTCAAGCCGCCACAAGAGTTGGTGCTGCTACAAGTATGGAGGGGAGGACCGAAATGCACATCTGTTGTTTTTGGGTTCGGACTGCGAACTGAAATTCATACTTCACATGCATCTCTTGAGGAATTTTGCACATTTGTGAATGCAAGAGCTTAGAGAGCAATCCTGCAGAAAAAAGTTTGGGATCTAGTCAATCTTGTCACTCGGTGGAGTTTAAGCGTCTCAGGAATCTGCCACAGCTGAGTGAACCAAACTGTGGCAGATGTAGTGTTTTGAAATTGCCGTGCCTGCAGTACTGTCCTGAGAGAGTCGTGGACAAGAATATTTATCACTCAGTGACGAAGGTTCAGTGCCATGGCAGTGGGAACGCTGGTTTGGTTTCACCGTTTTGCCGGTGTTGGTTGTTGGTTAATGCACAAAAAGGATGAATTTCCATAGCCGTAGCCATAGTCCTCCATAGGTTGTTATGAGTGGGATTATGAATGAGTATGATACCCGTCGCAAATCATGGACAACCGTTGATAGTCATTGGTGGTCATTGGTGGTCATTGATGATCACGCTGAGGAAGATTAGGGTGCCAGTTCCAGAGCCAATGCCGACCCACCCTCCTGCAACTTGACAGCAGCCTGGGGGATTGTCAATGTTCATGTTTGATTACTATCCTTGAGCCAAACTTCATGAGGATTTGGCTATTTTGATTGGAGTTTCTTCTAAAACAAATCGACTCTAAAAAACAATAGAGAACGTTAAGGCAGTTTTTCCAGTGATGCTGTGTCCTCTTCGTGCTGAGATTGTCCACACCATCCACCACAGCTACCACGTGCCCAGCCGACCACAGTATGTGCGTGTGCACGTTCCTGGGCCTACAGTGCTGAAGCCAGTGGGGAACCTTAGTTCCAGCTCAATGATGTGAAATATGCTGTGAAGGGTTTGATGTTCACCAGGTTACCAGGATTTTGCTCCAGTCATGTGAAACATGAAACATGTGGAGTGCTTGAAATCAGATCCTTCATTTGAGTGCTGCTAGCAGCTGTCTTCGATTGCAGTCTTCCTGTAGCAGTTTCCCTCCGTGGTTTTGACAAAGTCCCCTAATGGGAAGATCCTTCCATTTGCAAGGTTGTGGTAAATGAAAAGGTGCCAGTCCCAGTGAAGGAGCCGCCAAAGGCAAGATCATTCGGTATTTTGCGTGTGGTGGTGTTGTACA